ACAGTGTGGTACTGGCATAAGGGTAAACACACAGACCAATAGAATAGAACTGAAAGTTCAGAAACAAATCCTTACATCTGTGATCAGTTCATTTTGACAATGATGGCAAGACAATTCAATGGGGAAAGAATAGTCCTTTTAAGAAATGGTGCTGTGACAACTGGATATTCACATGCAAAAGAAAGAAGTTGGACCCATACCTCACACCAGACACAAAAATTAACTCAAAATGGATCAGAGGGATAGATATAAGAGCCAAAACTATAAGACTTTTTAAAAGAAAACATAGGAGTAATTCTTTGTGACCTTGGGTTAGGCTAAGAGTTCTTAGATACAACACCAAAAGCATGATCCACAAAAGAAATAATTGATAAAGTCTCTGATAAGGGCCTCGCTCCCAGAATATACAAAGAACTCTTACAACTCCATAATAAGACAAAAAAATAATTAAAAATGAGCAAAAGATTCACACAGATATTTAACCAAAGAAAACTATGAACGGCTAATAAGCATATGAGAAGATGCTCGACATCATTAATCACTAGGGAAATACAAAACCACAATGAGACACCACTTTGTACTCACAAAAACAGATATATTAAAAACACAGACAATACCCAGTGTTGGTGAGGATGTGAAGAAACTAGACCTCTTGTTGCTGGTGGGAATGTAAAATGGTAAAGCCATTTTGGATATCATTTTGGTAGTTTCTTAAAAAGTTAAACATGTATTTACCATAAGATCCAGCAATTCCACTCCTAGGTATCTACCCAAGAGGAATGAAGACATATTTCCGCACAAAGACTTGTACTTGAATGTTTATAGCAGCATTATTCATAATAGCCAAAAAGTGGAAACAATCCAACTGTCCATCAACTGGGGAATAAATGAAATGTGGAATATCCATACAATAAAATACCATTCAGCAACAAAAAAGAAACAACTACTGATACATGCTACATCATGCATGAACCTCAAAACCATCATGCTAAGTAAAAGAAACCAGACACAGGGGCCGGCTCCGTGGCTTGGTGGTTAAGTGCGCGCGCTCCGATGCTGGCGGCCCGGGGTTCGGATCCCGGGCGTGCCCCGGGGCACCGCTTCTCCGTCCAACGCGAGGCCGAGTCCCACATACAGCAACTAGAAGGATGTGAACCTATAACATACAGCTATCTACTGGGGCTTTGGGGGGAAAAAAATGAATAAATAAAATCTTTAAAAAAAAAAAAAAAAAAAGAAACCAGACACAAAAGACTACATTATTGTATGGTTCCATTTATATGAAAAGTCCTGAAAAGGTAAATCTATAAGACAAAGCAAACTGCTTGGGGTTGGGGGTGGGAACAGGGACCGTCTGCAAATGGGAATTTTGGGGGGTGATGGAAATGTTCTAAAACTGGATTTTGGTAATGGCTGCACAACTCTGATTTATTTATTTATTTTATTTTATTATTTTTTTGTGTGAGGAAGATCAGCCCTGTGCTAACATCTGCCAAGCCTCCTCTTTTTTTTTTTTTTTTTTTGCTGAGGAAGACTGGCCCTGGGCTAACATTCGTGCCCATCTTCCTCCACTTTATATGGGACACCGCCACAGCACGGCTTGCCAAGTGGTGTGTCGGTGCGCACCCGGGATCCAAACCAGCGAACCCCGGGCCGCCACAGTGGAGCACGCTCACTTAACCGCTTGTGCCCCCGGGCCGGCCCCCACAACTCTGATTTATTAAAAATCATTGAATTGTGTGCACACGGGTGAATTTTACGGTAAGTAAATTATACCTAAACAGTTTTAAAAAAAAATAAAATAAAAACCTGGAACACCAGAATACAAGCATCATCTGAAAAAGAACTGAGCACAAAAGGTAATACTTGTTTCCAAAGAACAGAAGAGCCCAGAATGGCTGCAGGTCTGGTCCAGCCTGAAGCATAGAGATTGGCTTCCCATCCTTCACACCCTTGCAAAGCAACTGCTCCTAGAAATGGAAGCAAATGTGCCTACTTGTGATGGTTAATTTTACGGGTCAACTTAACCGGCCATGGGGTGCTCAGATTCAACATTATTTCTGAGTATGTCTGTGAAGGTGTTTCCAGATGAGATTAGCATTTGAGACAGTGCACCCAGTGAAGTAGATCACCCTCCCCACTGTGGGTGGGCATCATTCAATCTGCTGAGGCCTGAACAGAACAAAAGGTGGAAGGAGGAGGAATTTGCCTCCTTTTTCCTGTCTTACTGCTGAGCTGAGACATCTCATCTCATTTTCTCTGATCCTCAGACTGCGATTTACACCACTGGCTCCCCTGGTTCTCAGGCCTTCGGACTTGGACTGAGTTACACCACTGGCTTTCCTGGGTCTCCAGCTTGCAGATGGCAGATCGTGGGACTTCTCAGCCTCCATAATTACGTGAAGCAATTCCTCATAAATAAATATCTCCATCTCCCTCTCCCTCTTTCTCTCTATATATCTCCTATTGGTTCTGTTTCTCTGGAGAACCCTATTACACCATCCCTCTACCAAATGAAGCCGAGTTCAATACATCATCAGGCACAACTCAGGAAACATAAAATGGCTCCCTGACAACAGAGATTTCAAAGCATCTTGGTTTCCATATATTCATAAATCACTTCAAGCATCTGGCTGCATGTTCAGTGTGTGGCATTTAATCTGTACACCTGACTCACAGGACTTCATAATTCACCAACTATGACTATGTTGTATCTTTTTTGTTTTAAAGCTGTCCAATTATCACACACCCACAGTTTCATCAGATGCTTTCTTGAAACCTCTGGAGTTACACAGTCCAGACCCCTGCTTCCAAGCAGCATTACCCCAATCCAGCTGGAGGGGACGAATAAGCAAACTCTCCTTAAAAGTCCTTTGACATTGTGTTTCAATGTTTAACCACCATTAGCTGAGAGATATCCATTCTGCTGATCCTGACATTTTTTGAGTTCACCTTATTTCCGTGCCATCTGGAGCAGAAGTAACTGTCTCCCTACTTTCTGAAAGGGGATAACATTTGAAAATGACCATGAACATTACCTCTCAAGGTTCATTTCACTTCAACCTTTCCTCTTAGGTACTGTTTTCTACCCTTCCAGCCACCTCTGGCCCTTAATTTTGCTCTCCTGAATGCTCTAAATTTTCACACCCCATCAAGCATGACAACCAGCACTGGGTACAGAATTCTAAAGTAATGCCCAATATAGCAGAGAGATTAGTTGCCAAATAGTTTAGAATAAGTTCATTCCTAAAAAACAAACAAACAAAAACCTAGGGAGAATGGTGCCATGGTATAATTAGAATTACCAAGAATGTGAAGGAATTCCTGGGTGTTTAGAGGAGGGAGAAGGTACCAGAAAGGAGGGTATGTAGTGGAAAGGCAACAAAATGACACTTAAGTCTCCTGGAGGACAAGACTATTTCTAGGCTCCAATACACCCAACAGGGGGAAAAAAGAGTTTTCTTCCTTGCACCTTGCCTTAAGGTAATTCTTTTTTTAAGGGATAACTGCTTACTAGACATTCCTTGTATTAAATCCAAGCTATGTCTTTTCACTTGTGCAACAAATACGGAACCACAGACGTTAAGTGCTAAAGTTATCTATGAACAAAACGACCAAGTTCAACCTTCTTAATTTACTGATAAGGACACCGAGGATTGGGGTGGCAGGGTGTGGAATGACTGTCCAAAGTTACTTAGAGACAGGGCTGGGACTACAAGCTGTGCCTCTCGGCCTCAGGCCCAATCTCCTTTGACTGGACCCCTCTGTCTCCAGGAAGGAGATAACTTAAGAAATCAAGATCTAGAAAGAACAGGAAAGACTCCCATAAGTGGAAAATATCAGTATGTAAAAGGGACAAAATGAAGTGACATATCTTCCCATTTCTTTACCTGAGAGGAACTCAAAACCACCCTACTGTTTTGTTTTACAAGCAGCTTGTTAAATCCATGCTCTAGCGGTAATTACATAGATTATACCACTTATTTTGTTTCTAGAACTTCATTCTCTGGCTTGGAGGAGGAGGCTCAAGCCTTCTGCCTCAAGGAGGGTACTCTTCTGGGTCCTGGAGAAGCCTGGTTCCCACAGCTGCGGGGTGGGGCCTTCTGCGGAGGGGGTAAAGTCATGCAAAGCTCCCACTTCCCTTCGGAGGGCACCCTCGGGAGAGCTCTACCTCCTGGACCCTTTTCTCCCCCTCCCTCTGGGAACTCCAACTGGAACAGGAAAAGAGGCAGGAAGCCCTTCCCTTCTAGAAGGGCCAGTGGGAAGGAGGCTGAGGGTCAAAAGAAAAGGACAAAGGAACTGTCCTCAGTCTAGGTCACAATTTCTCAAAGCACAATGCCATAGGTCTGGCAGGATGGGCAGTCTAGGGGGGCATTCAAAGGTACAGAATAACCTCGGGATGCTTTCCAAGGACATGATCTCATTTGAATGTTTTTAGGGTGGGGGTTTCATTATAGAATTCAAATCAACACAGCGTTATCACTATGTCATTGCAGGAACTTTTAAGCCAAATCAGGAGACTAGCACATAAATGGGAAAGAAGGAAATGGAATTTCGTTCCAAATCTTTTTATTTTGTGGCAGAGAACTTTGGGCTAGGCCCCTATATTAACTGGGGTATAAGTTCATGTTTCTCCATCGTTAGGGAAACTTTGGTGGGAAGCATGGGAGGTACTGGCTCCAGCAAAAAAAATCTTGGTTGTTCACAGGGACACCAACCCAGGTCAGAAGGAGACAGGCAGGCAGTTCTAGGCTCAAAGTCCTAGTGCATAACAAAGAACAGGTATACTTGCCTGACCTTGCCTTCTGCCCCACACCCTGGAAAGCTAAGTGGGGCCTGAGCTAGCTGGCAGCTTGAGGGGTTAGGTGGTTCTAGCTGTCCCCCTTAGGAACACAACCAACAGGCACGATGAGAAATCACTTTGCTATCGGTGGGATTTTCAGGCAAGCATTTTATGCATTTACATTTACGAAGTTAAAATTTGAAAACATAATACTCACTGTATTTTTTTGAGTTACCATATCCTGAAAAGAAAAAGAAAAGATAAATATAGCTTTTTTCCAAAACAGCTAATCTCCATAAGCACTAGCAAGCACTTTGTCCCCCCACCCACTATCTAGCACCCACCTTAGAGCAAGAGTTAATCATTTGAAACCTCCCCTCGCAAAAAAGCTTTAAATAGGATGAGCCTAGGAGAATTGTAAAACTCGTGTTCTAAGGAAAATTTATCATTAATTGGTTAGCTTTGGAACTACTGAGGGGCATACGGTTATAAGGATTCTCTCATAGCAGTGGCAATGATTTTTGTCCAAAGCTATTTGAGATTCAAGTTTGGGGCTCTGAATGCCCTGCACCACGCCCTCCCAGTGAAGAACGTCTGCGACAGCAAAGAAGTGCATGGGAAGCATTGTGGTATCCCTGGGTCTGGAACTGTTTTCTTGACTCATCAATGTGAAGGCTGCAGGCCACCTCCCAGTCAGACCTCCTACAGAAGGGGCGTTGCTGATAGGATTCCTGACATCTCACTATAATTGTTGAGGAATTTCCAGTTCAATGACAACGATTTTTGTCACTTAACTTAGCATAATGGTTATGCAGCCCTCGACTGTATCATTTATGCACCGCAAGCCAACATTTGCCAAAAGAAAGAAAATATAATTAAACAGCCGCCCGGTAAAACACGTTTTATACATTCTGAGATTTCTATTTTCTGATGACAAGTGCAGATTGCTTCTTCTGGCGTCAGATATAACTGACTACCCATTTCCACTTTAGGAAATATTTTTCCGTATCATTAAAAATTAAAACTTATCTAAGTCATGGGACTTTCCCGAGTTCACTAAGGCACAGTTGAGAAAAAAATGTACTGACTTGGAAAAAAAATACATTCTAATTTCATGTTTCTCATCAAAATACAGCTTAATAATCTACCCTTTCATATTTTCAAAGTATTTCTAAGCATAAGTACTTTAGTGAAAAATCAGTAAAAGAAAAAAATCATTATCTAAATATCTAAAGTAATTTAGATTGGTTTATAGCCTTTTGAGAAACTATTCTACAATGTAAAGTATAATAATAAGACAGTTCTTTCACTTCTTACAACACAGTACTGTGCTATAGTTAGAGTACACATTTATGTAAAGTGTACGTGATATAGAACACGTGTAGGTTACACATTTGAAGCAGGTAGTATTTCTATCAGGAAATAATCCCAAATTATTACAGGACCCAGAAAAATTTGGCTAATATTAAATCTCAAGAAACACAAAAATGTCCAACTTTGCCATCACAAAATTGTGCTATTTATATACTAGTGATTTTAAATGCTAAGGGAGCTGGACATTTAGAAATGATGTCTGTGAAGGCTAACTCTGAACCACTGGTTCTCATCCCTGGCTGCACATTCTGGAGGTTAAAAAAAAAATCTCCTTGAGATTGTGACGTAATTGGCCTGGGGTGTGGCCTGGGTATTGGGATATTTACAAGCTCTCCAAAGATTCTAAAGTGCAGTCAAGGTTGAGTAACATTGCTGTAAACAAACTAATCTTTTATTCGTGAAATGATTTAACACAGACCAGGATTTTCTGACTAATGTTAAGATATAAACTATATTAATATCAGCTCAATTTTGGAATAACTCACCTTAGATAATCACATTTTATGAATATGAGCACGTGTTAAAAGTACTATGTTATCCAAAAAAAGCTTGTATAAAACTTGCAAAAATACATTTTAAAATTTCTCAATAATTACTGAGTTGTGCATGAACACACAAGTTTTCAGTTTTGTTCTGCTTTAAACAGGGGGAAAATAACATTAAATACTGATTATGTGCTAAAATTTATCTGTGCTAAAGTTTCTGTCCATTTTAGTAACTGTTAAATGTCTTCATATTATTATCCAAGTTGAAAACTGATTTTTTTTTTAATGTGTAGGTTTGGATCAAACTGCCCATTAAAGGATTCAGAGTGGTGTGTTTGCTTCAATGGAAAATAACAGGAGTCTTTGCCTTTGCTTCCCTAATGAGCCTGGAAATATTCAAGTTGCCTGCAAATGCACATGTGTAGCACACATGCTCACACAGTAGCCAGGAAGTCATCTGTGTGAGTGAGAACCTAGGGTGGGAAGGAAGGAATTGCACAAGCAAATCTATACTCTTTTTCTCCAACCTCGTTTGCTACACGTGCATTTTTTTTTAACTGTGCTAACGATTTATAACATTATTTAAGTTTCATGCGTATAACACTATAATTCAACTTCTATATACACTACAGCATGCTCACCAACAAAATCTTGTTTCTATCAGCCACCATACAATTGACCCCCTTTACCCATTTTGCCCTTCCTCCACATCCCCTTCCCCCTGGTAACCACCAATCTGTTCTCTGTATCTATGTGTTTTTGTCTTGTTTTGTTTGTTCGTTTGTTTTTTTTATATTCCACATGAGTGAAATCATATGGTGTTTGTCTTTCTCTGTCTGACTTATTTCACCTAGCATAATGTCCTCAAGGTGCATCCATGTTGTCACAAATGGCAAGATTTCATCTTTTTTTATGGCTGAGTAGTATTCCATTTTATATATGTATGTGTATACATATATAAAATCTTCTTTATCCATTCATCTGTCAATGGGCACTCAGGTTGTTTCCATACCTTGGCTATTGTGAATAATGCTGTAATGAACATAGGGGTGCACCTATCTTTTCAAATTAGTGTTTTTTTTATTCTTCAGATAAATACCCAGAAGAAGAATAGCTGGATCGTATGGTAGTTCTCTTCTTAATTTTTTCAGGAATCTCCACACTGTTTTCCATAGTGGCTGCACCAATTTACATCCCCATCAACAAGCTACATGTATATTTCAACTGAACATACAATACTGCTTTCCCAAAACGAAGTATTCAGGAGAAGGTGAACAATACCCTTTACCTTCAATGAAAGAGCAGTGTCAGGGTCAGTGTCGTGGTACAGGATCACGTTATTGGCCATATCGAAGCTTTCGCGGACGCCAAGGTGGTAGAAAAGTGAAGGCTGTCTGGAGACATCACTCATGTCCACCACCGCAACATCTGAGCAGAAGTGAGGAAGGACTTGATTAAAATTACCCCATGAACTGCAGAAGAAAAGCAATAAGAATGGAAAAAAAACCCAAAAATTCTTTCTTCTTCAAAGTGCTAGGAATGTACCCTCACTTAAAAATTGCTGGTGGACTTTTTTTGCATGTATGTGAGGAAGATTAGCCCTGAGCTAACATCCAACGCCAATCCTCCTCTTTTTGCTGAAGAAGATTGGCCCTGGGCTAACATCTGTGCCCATCTTCCTCTACTTTATATGGGACGCCGCCACAGCATGGCTTGACAAGCAGTGCATTGGTCCGCGCCCGGGATCCAAACCTGCGAACCCCAGGCTGCTGAAGCAGAGCTCATGAACTTAACCAATACACCACCAGGCCGGCACCTGCTGGTGGACTTTTAATGTTATTTTCATTAGGAAATTTATCATATCCAAAGAACATATTTAGCTTATATATGAAGTATAAAGTATAATGAAATGAAAAACCATGCACCCACGACACAGAGCATTATCTGTACTGTCAGAGCCCCACATGCCTCTCCCTAATCACATCTCCTCCCTCCTGCCCAGAGAAACCTCTATCCTGATGTCTGTATGTATCAGTTCCCCGCGTAAAAATGTATACGCATATTACACGTTATTATAATGTATGAATTCCTAAATAGTATATTGTTTAGTTTTGCATGTCTTTGAACTTTGCATAAATAGTCTCACACTGTATGTACTCTTTGACTTGCTGTCTTTTGGCGTGATATAACCAATTTGTATGTCGAGCTCTGGTTCATACATTTTCAGTTCAGCATAGCATTCCATTATAGGATGACTAGATGGCAATTTCTTTATCCATCCTCTCTATAATTTTGTACATTTCTTTTCCTATTTCAAACTACTGTAATGAACGTTCCTGCACCATGCTCCTGATTCACATGTCCACCATCAACTTCACTGGCTCTGTGCAGAGGCACCGGGAGACCAGAGGTAGGGCATCAGTAAGCCCTGCGTGGGCCTTCTATTCTCTAATTTACGGATTGTCAGCTATCTGCCAGGCATTGTGCTGGTACAAGGGATAGAAGTGTGAACGAGGCATGATCCCTTTCCTCAAAAAAACGTGTAATACAATGCGGGTGACGGGAAGCAAGCAGTGATGAGAATCACGGTCAGGAGGTCTAAAGTGAGGGGAACAGTAACAGAGGCACCCCTGGGAGGGTACCTCACTCACACTCGGGTGGAAGACTGTCAGGTGAGGCCTGGAGGAAGTGATATTGTCTGGGACCTGAGAGTCCATAAGAGTTAGGCAGGCAAATCAGGGTAAGGATGAGGAGGATGGAAAGGGAAGGAAAGAGCATTGTAGGAAGAGACGACAGCAAGTGCAAAGGGCCAGAGGTAAGATGGGATGTAAGCGATGGGGCCATTGCAAATCGTATCATGGGACCAGAACACTTGAGAAGATGAACCTGGAAGGGTTAGCAGGTGCCAGGCAGTGACGAGGTCTGAAGGCCATGTTAAGATGGCTGGACTCTACCTTGAGGCAATGGGAAACCTTCGGTAGGTTTTTTTTTTCTGTTTATTATGGAAAATTACAAATGTATATAAAAGTAGACAGAATAGTATAACGAAGCTCCCATACCCCCTCACCTCCCTCAATAATTATCAACTCAACCAGCCTTGTTTCATCTCTACTGCCATCCACACCACCACCTTCCATATTATTTTGAAGCAAGTCCCAGGCATATCATTTCATCCCCAAATATTTCAGAATGTATTGCTAAAAAATAAGAACTCAAAGAAAAAATAACCATAGCATCAATGTCTCACCTAAAATTAAAAAAAAATAATCATAAGGAGTTTAAATAGGAGACTGTCATATCCAAATTCACGCTTGAGAGGTTGTTTCTCAAGAAAGGACAAATGTATATGCTGAGGAACCACTTTACAACCCAGCCTGGTTAATTTATCTCAAATGGATAAACATTCCCCACAGACATTTGCTTGGAGTCAAAAATCATACTGCACCTGAATAAATTAGACATTCTGCCTATATGATTGTTCCCTGGACTCTATTACCTACTCAAATTAAAGAGAATGTGCTTCCTAGTGACGCTATTGAGACACGGCAACACAGATGCTAATTCCAAGGTCATGGGGACTGCTACAATTAGTTAATAAAGGAAAGGAAGTAAACGGAGGACAACAAAGGAGAGGGGTCAGAAGCGGCAGAGGGCAGGGATGGCCAGCAGCCCCCAAGTCCCACAGGCCATTTCATAGAACACCTGCAACTTGGTGGAATAGCTTGTCACCGAGTAGGTTAAGTTTTAATCTGGTGACGTGAGTTCCTTCTTTCCTCAGCCTTCTCAGTGTTCTGTGCTGGGACCTGTACACTGGCCTCACCACTTCCGCTAAGGAGCCCCTGTGTGGCTCCACCAAGGGATAGAGGCCTTTCAGTGCCTAACTAGAACAGGACAGACACTGCTACTCCAAAAAAATTCCAAGTAATTCATGTTCAATAAGAAAATTGTCTCAAACCCAAAGTTGACATTTTTGCCTGACATTTGTCACTCAGGCCAGTAGATGAAGTTTACTTTGAGGAATTATACCACAACAATATTCAACCAGCTTTTTAGAACTTCTAGCACAGTAATTTAGCAGATTTATAAATGTTAAATATGATAAAACATCAGATTAGAATTTTATTATATATGAGGAATCAAGGTGTTTTTTCCCTAAAGAGATCATAAATTACCTAAAAGCTGCAATCATCACAATGGTCACTTGCTTTGCCATTTACAAAACACTTCCAAGGACATCTCAGTTGAATTTCAGAACCATTCTGTGAGGCAGGCAGGGTAGGTATTGGCTCCACTTCATAGGTGGGGAAATGAAGCGTAAAGAGGGTAACAGATTCGCCCAAAGTCACACAGCTAGGGCACAACCGAGTCAGGGCTCAAACTCAGCTACGTCCTGTGCTCTCCAGTGCCAGATGAGGCTTACTACTTTCCTGGCTCAATTTCTGAAATCAAGCCAGTTGAGGGCAAAACACTTTATTTACCCAGCTAAACGTTAGGCAAACAGACCACAGATAAAAAAGGAGAGATAAAATTCAGGTTTTCACTCACAAATGCACCCTGTGCTCCCAGCAACCATGACCTTCCAGTTCCCACTGATGCAGGCCAGCCTCAGGGAAAAAGCCTAAAGCCTGCCTAGAATAAACCATCTTCCTTGATCGAGCACCACACACACCCTCGACCTATCTTGGTATAAGGAACCTTAAGAAGTGATACCACATCAAAGACTGCAGAAAGCCAAGGCTCCCATTAAAATCTACGCTTAGCAGGAAAGCGTCTGAATTTAAAACTGAAGTGCCCTTCAAACGATTTAAGAATGAATCACAATTATCTCACTACATGCTAATATGAAAGATGAATGATGTGTGGGATTTTAGTTCATTAAAAACTTTTGAACACTAACATTATTTTTGTGAAATGTTTTTTACGTAATAAGCAAAACTACAATTTCTAGTTTGGTTTAAAAGTGTCTCATTTCCTCAAAAAAATTAAGAATAGAACTACCATATGATCCAGCTATTCCACTGCTGGGTATTTATCCAAAGAACACAAAAACACGAACACATAGAGATATATGCACCCCTATGATCACTGCAGCATTATTCACAATAGCCAAAATTTGGAAACAACCTAAGAGTCCATCAAGGGATGAATGGACAAAGATGTGGTGTATATACATATATATATACACACACACACATATATATACACACACAATGGAATACTACTCAGCTATAAAAAAAAAAAAAAGATGAAATCTTGCCATTTGCGACAACATGGATGGACCTTGAGGGTATTATGCTAAGTGAAATACGTTAGACGGAGAAAGTCAAATACTGCATGATCTCACTCATAAGTAGAAGATAAAAACCACCACCACCACCACATAGATACACAGTTTAGATTGGTGGTTACCTGAGGGGAAGGGGAGAGGGAGGAAGGTGAAAGAGGTGACAGGGCACATGTATACGGTGACGGGTGATGGATGGTAATTAGTCTTCGGGTGGTGAACATGTCATCTACACAGAAATTGAAATATACTGATGTACACCTGAAATTTATGTTACAAACCAATGTTACCTCAATAAAAAAAAATTTTAAAAAGTATCTGATTTCCAAAGCAAAGCATTAATCAGTGAAATGTATGATGGCAAATGATTTACCATACAGTAATTCTGTGATTGTACTGGCTCATGCCAGTCTTTAAATATATTCCAGGTTATCTGTAAATCTATCCCACTCTCAGCAGAAAAAAGAAGTAACAAATGTAAGTAAGATTGGCTGTGTCTAAATGAAAAGAACTAGATTTTAGAATAATTTTCCTGCCAAAGACATTTTTTTAAAAATCTGATTGGATTTATGGCAACCTTGGCCATCCAAAACAACAGAGCCCAGATTTACCAGACAGGAGGCACCTCTACTAACTGCTACCATAACTTAGATGTTACTTCATCCACTGCCGCTCACGTCCAACATACTTGAGGGCAGGTCCATGGAAAGAATGTTGTGAAGTATCATTTAAAACCAATTTTCCAGTATCATAAGGAGGAGTCAACCTACCAATTCAGTGTCACGAGGTCAAAAAATTCTTACCAAGTGCCACATGGGATGGGTACTAGTTGCTTGGAGTATCAAGTTTCAACGAGAAAGGGGCAGTGGGGAAGAGTGGGGACATCAGGAACCTATATCTGGTCCCCTATCTTTTGCTTTCCAGCATCTTTTTATATGAATGACCAAAAAATAAATTTTTATAACTTTATAAGTATGATCGAGATGTGTTCACTATCAGTTTTTTCAAAAGAAACACGCCATATATAAGCAAACTACGTTACTCACCGAAATGAATGGACTCATTGGGCTTAATTTCAGACCACTCACAGTGAAATATCTGTGATATAAAGTATAGCATGATTTAAGTCACTTTAGCTTTCGCA